TATATTCAACAGCGAACTGCCTTTGAATATAGGTAGCTGTTGTCAAAAACATTGGCTAAATTAATTATTCATATCATCATAGGATCCATGTTAAAAAAACCTATTAATTTAGGAATTTTCCAATAGCCTTTTTTAGGGTTTTTTTTTTTTTCTGGAAAAGACAAAGGAGGTAATATAATAGTTTTGGCAAATAAACCTCATGACAGGGTGGATATCGGAATCTGTATTATTTGTTGGAACTCAACCTAGACTTTGAAAAAGAACAGACACTTAAAATAATCCAGGAGCAGGGAGTGATTCCAAATATACTATGACAAATGGCTACCTTTTGCTAGGATATTTAAAATACTAAATTTCAAGCGTGCATCTTATGACTGTGCTGACATCTCAGTTCAGCTTTTTTACACACATAAAATGAAAGGCATTCACGGGTTACAGGAAACTAGGTCCAGGGCATCAGATTGGTAAAATCAGACTTTTACAGTAGCTTCCAGATGTTCTGGAGCACAAGTTAATGAGAGCACATGGAAACATATTGAAAAAAATATCAGGAAACACATTTTTTTACACAAAAGCAAACCAGTGGAAAAATATTATATGCATAATACTGGAATGCAGTTATTGTCATTATTATTCTGGGTATTACTGTTTACATTTTAATTCCATGTGGTATTTAAAACAACAAAAGAAAAACATTTTTCTGTAAATTAGTGAATGATAAAAAAGATTTATGTGTTCAATCATCATAGGATTTTTCCTGATGTTTAAAATACATATGCAATCATTTTTTTCAACTAATGTAAATTTCGGGGAAGTGGCTTAAAACTCTTTCTTTAAACCCAATTTTAAGCTTTATAACCTAAACAAATTTTAGAGATACACATTTCCTCACATTTTGGCACTACAGATACCATCATCTTGATACACATATTATATATTATTGCCCATAAACCCTGCACCTAGGAAGTTCTAGAAGAATAAGGCATGGAAATGGGCTGGTACTATGAGAAATTTTTATTTATATATCCAATATTGTTCGCTTATTTGAAATGCTATGTTCTGACTGTTTACACCTACCTTAAATAGATCACATACCAGTTTTAGACAGACTCATATACTTCAAAAGGATGAGACAAAAATAGATTGCATTGTCTGATACATTAAACATGGGTCGGATGCATTCCCTTTCTGAGGCCTTAAAACCTAGTAATCACACCTCTATAAATTAGTAACTATTCACCAAATCAGATGTCAGAGCTCCTGCTTTTTTTCAGATAAAAGCAAAGAATAGAAATATATGAACCTTCAAGCAGGATTTATGCACCTGAAAAAAGGAACCAGCCCTTCCAAAAATATAAAACTCTACACCTCATGGAAACCTTACTGTCACCCACGTTACATGGTATCATGATGTCTCAGCTCTGCCGCATAAGGGCATCTGGAGGGAGTGTGCAGAAACATTCAAGATCATGGATGTATCAACATGATCAAAACCCCAGTTCCGTACATGTACAGAACACACATTAAAGGGATGTGTTTGCGAAGGCTTTAATTGCACCAACCATTTTTACTTTTTTGACCTTCACCCACTGGGCACCCAACAGCAATACATACATACATATCAGGGGTGAAATCCAACAGGTTCTGGAGAACTGGTAGCAGAAATTTTGAGTAGTTCAGAGAACTGACAAATACCACCTCTGGCTGGCCCCAGAATGGGGTGGGAATGGAGATTTTACAATATCCTTCCCCCTGGAGTGGGATGGGAATGGGGATTTTGCAGTATCCTTCCCCTGGAGTGGGGTGGGAATGGGGATTTTGCAGTATCCTTCCCCTGGAGTGGGGTGGGAATTTTGCAGTATCCTTCCCCTGGAGTGGGGTGGGAATGGGGATTTTACAGTATCCTTCCCCTTGAGTGGGGTGGTAATGGGGATTTTGCAGTATCCTTCCCCTACCACGCCCACTAAGCGATGCCCACCAAGCCACGCCCACAGAACCGCTAGTAAAAAAATTTGGATTTCACCACTGGTACATGTATACATACATACATACATACATACATACATACATCAGTGGTGAAATCTAAAATTTGTTACTACCGGTTCTGTGGGCGTGGCTTGATGGGGGGGGTTAATGTGGCTGGGTGGGCGTGGCCATTTTTTTTTTTTTTACTTTTAAAACCATTTTTAAAAGTATTTTAAACCATTTTCGGTGAAGTGTTTGTAAAAAAATGCTTTCAAAAGGTTCTGACAATCCAAGCTGAGTTGCCTGATCGGCACAGGATTTTTAAAAAGCCTCTGCCGATCAGGCAACTCAGCTTGGATCGTCAGAGGCATTTAAAAGAAAAAAGGGTTTTTTTCTTTTAAAAGCCTTTGACGATCCCAGCTGAGCCGTGCGATCATCAGAGGCTTTTTTTTTTACTTTTAAAAGCATTTTTTGGCGGAAGAGGTTGTAGAAAAAATGCTTTTAAAAGTAAAAAAAAAAGCCTCTGATGATTATGTGCTCAGCTGGGCAATGAGGGGGGGGCAGGGATTTTTGCTACTGGTTCTCCGAACCACCTGCCTCCATCGCTATCGGATCGGGTGATCCGGTCCGAACAGGGAGCATTTCACCCATGATATATATACACACACACATACATACATACATACATACATACATACATACATATTTTTCTTTTAGCCAGGTTTTTCCTACGTAACCAAGATTTTTCTACAGCCCTAGCTCATATATATATATATGTATGTAACTGCTCTATTTGGACTCTTGACTAGTCTTCAAAAATATAGAACAGCATGATAACTTTGCATACAACAAAGGTCCACTGGCCCATATTATCACATGCAAAAAAGAGTTCAAAATGCTGCTAACTTCCCTGCTTGCAAAATTGCAAAACAATGTCTGAAATAGTAGACATCAAACATGAGCTTCATGGAGTAGAAGTTACAGCTGTGTGTATGCATATTGTTATTTTAATATGTCTTTGGGGAGTTGGCCATTATATACACAAACAGAACACCAAAAACCAAGACAAGACAGTCTTAACACCATACACAGCAACATAATGTTAAGGTCTGTGTTTTATTTTTTTTTATTTTGCATGTTATCTTTCTATTATTATATTATTGCTTACATTACACTGCAGGAGATGGAAAGCAAGATTCCGTGAGCTCTGCAGAAAGACTAATTTTATCTGGTTCCTCCCCTCCTTGAACTATTTTTATTTCAGATTTAAAACTGGGTGCCTCATTTGCTCTTTCATCCCTTCCCCTTTTATTTCTTCCTACTGTACTTTTATGCTATTACTTTTTTGAACGTAGGCAGAAGTGACCGATGGGTATGGGAAAAAAAAAAAGTCCAGGTAGTGGCAATGTACATAAAAAAGCAGGTGGAGCTTCAACTGTATACCATCATAATCTTCTTGATTCTTTTGATCACACCCTGTAGACAATGTAGGATTGCAGGCCATAACTATCTTAATGATTATGTATAAAACTCATCCTAGGAAAGAAAGAAGTCAAATAAAATCATTTTGAAAGAATCGCCAGTGACCCAAGTGATGCCGCCACTGCCCTCTTGCAATGCCTGGAGGCTGTAGGCATCTGGATAGGGGCCACAGACTTCTGCTGAACCCTGGTGAGGTCAAGTGGCTTTGGATACACGGAGCTTTGGGATCTGGGACATTAACATCTTTAGTTCTGGATGGGGTTGCACTGCTCCAGACATATCAGTGTGCAACTTGGGGGATTCTCCTGGACTCGTGATTCTTGCTCTAAGAGCAGGGGACAATTGTGGCTAGGAGAGCCTTTGCACAATTTCATATTATGCACCAGTTGTGCCCTTTCCTGAATTGGGAATCCCTATGCTCAGTCAATCAAGCCATCGTCATCTCATGCTTGGACTATTGGAACACAGTCTACATGGAGCTACCTTTAAAGAGTATTCAGAAGCTATAGCTTGCGCAGAATGCAGCTGCACAGATAGTTCTTGGGGTCCATATTACACCACTGTTTCATGAGCTGTACTGGTTGCAAGTTTGCTTTCAGGTCTAATTCAAGGTATTGGTTTTTACCTTTAAAGCCCTTCATGGCACGGGTCCAGGTTATCTGAGGGACTGTCTCACTTCAAGGGGTTAGTCCACCCCAACCCATGCCAGCAGAAGGGGCATGTTGCAGGCCCCATTGGTCAAGAAATTCCGGCTGGCAAGATTCAGGAGAATAGCTTTTTCTGCTGTGGCTCCCACTATCTGGAACATCATTCCTCTCCCCCTCCCCGAGATGGGATCTGTACCCCCATCCTTTTAGTCTTTTGAAGATCTGGCTCTGCCAATTGGCCAGGGACCCCAATAGGGGCATGTCATGTTGGAGGCAGTAAATAAATTAAATAGATCTCATCTCCTTCCTGTGAGCATCTTGTTCTCTCCTCCCTATCTTTGTCAATTTTAAATCAAGTTTAATGCTACTATTTATTGTTTTAAATTTAATGTTTTATATTTGTGTTTATTAATTGTCTAGAATTGACTCTAGGTAAGATGGGTGACATATGTTAAACAAACAAACAATTAAATATCATCACATGTGTACACATGGGCCTAAGAATTTATAGCTAAAGGCTGATAAGGATGTTTTTGAAACAAAATCAACCACTTCTATACATTGTGTGATATATTCCCCCTGTAATCAAGCATTCACCATCTATTTTCAAGTTTGTAAAAGTAACTGTTTTGATTAGGGATTTTTAAAAATACTACCCAGATAGGAAACTAGCGGATATCTAAGAATCTAGGGAAACTGGTTTGAATTTGCCTTTACCAACCAAAATGAAAATAAGTCTTAACATATCATGTTACAAAAGCAAAAAGACAGCACTATAAAAAAGATTCTGGTTGTCTATAGCTACCATGTTTGAAGTAGTAAAAACAAAGGCATTATTGGGAGGAGGTAAAGCAAAAGAAAAAATGGAGACTTTTCTTTTAAAGATTACATCTAAAGAAACTGTACCTCATGTATGATGTTGGGGACAAAGGCTTTGATTTGGCCCACTGATAGGGATACTGTGGAACTGAAAGATACTGATCACAGAAGCTTCCTTTTCTGATGTGCTGGAACCCAGGAAACTCTTCTGGTGATAAATCGGTAATCGGTGATATGGTCCCTTGATCATCTCCACTAGGTTCGGTCTTGAGTGCCATGGAGGGAGTGTGATCTACTGCAGTTTTCCTAGACTTGATAGGAATTCCATCATTCATATCTATTGTGCTGTCAGTAGTGAGGGCATTAATTGCTGCAACAATGGCTGAACTGGTATATTGGTTAGTGTTTCCCAACCATGTCTCATCAGTCACACTAACCCTCGGAGAATTTTGGGGAGAAGGGGTTGGGGAGTGATGTGGAGAGTAGGATGTCTGTCTGCCATTCAAACTGTATTTTCTCTTATTACAGGGAGAGGATGGCCTGGAGTTGCGAGAGCTCAGCCAGTTTTCTTCAGTAATACTTGTTCTGGGAGACGTGGAAGGAGAATGTCGGGGTGAATTAAGGAGCGTGCAGGGAACTAAACTTCGCTGATACCTCTCCTCAGTTTCATTGGTCTTGGGTGATACGCATGGCGATTGCCAAGGAGATGTCTGGGGTGAAGTATAAGGATAGGAATAATTTGATTCATAGGAAGACGCTTCTGAATTGCAACTTCTGGAAGACAGGCTACTGGCTGGGCTCAGACAAGATGGGTCCCTGTAAGCCTCAATGTTTGGTAAATTCAAAGTAGCAGTAGAAGGCGATCTCTTGGTGTTTTGGGTGGATTCATCAACCTCCGCTTCATGGAAGAACTGGTTGTTGTTTTGATGCAGTCCTAAGTAGGTGGTTATTTCAATTCTAGGACTTTCTAATGCTGGCACTCCATTAGGTCTGACACTTGGAGGCAAATAATATCCAGCAGTGCTATTGTCAGCATGCCCTCCATAACCTGAAAGATGATTAGCTGATGAGACATTTGGAATGACTGGAATAGACGTTTGAAGGCCGTGACATGGAGTTGGCAGTGAAGAATGTGCCACATTTAGAGGCAAAGTTGAATTTATATTTGAAGATGCATAGTTATAATGTTCTGCAAAAAGATAAAAAAGAAAAAGAAAAGACATGAGATGAGATGTTGCACATAGACACAAATTAATTCATTAGTAAGCTGAATCCTTCATGATCCAGTGAATATACTAGAGTTTTCTCTGGAATCAAAGCCTACCTTAACCATTTCAAAGATGGCCAAGAGCTAGTGTCATTTAGCCATTCAAGAATGGACTAGGACCAAAGAGTTCTAGGTTCTGGGTTTAAGTCCATCCTCAACCATGGAAGCTCATTAAAGATTTGGAACCAGTCACCTTCTTTCGGCCCCACCTACTTCACAGAATTATTGCAAAAAAAAAAAAAAAAAATTGGAGAAGGCTACATATGCACCTTGAACTTCTAGAGAAAGACAGCAACAAATAAGCTTCGCCATTAACCAGCTCTTGAGTTTAGACTCCATTTATCTTTTTTTAAAGTCAGAATTTGCAATGACATCCTTTATAACAGGACTATCAAGTTATTTTTGAGCAGAGTGAGGTATTTAACCTTTAAATGGTGTGCCAGAATCAGGCCAGGGCCAAGGGCCAGGACATACAGTACACCTAATTTATTACCAACATAAACAGAAATAAACTTAATGCAGTGAATATGATCACTCTCCAATATAAAATAATAAATTGTTCTTTTTCAGTTACATAAGAAAAACATGGAGGGTCTTGATTCTTGAGGGCTGTTATTACAGGATTGCAGAACAAGCAGAAGTCCGTAGGCTGAAGACATCTTTGGATGTTACTGCATGAAAGTCCATGTGAATAAATTGCACTTTCTTTTAGCATTTCTGGGATAAGAAAGGATGCAGTTGTGGCCAGGAGGGTCTTTGCACAGGTTCATCTTGTGCACCAGTTACCCTTTCCTTGATCAAGAGGGCCTTCAGACAGTTATTCATGCCCTCTGATTGAATTATTGCAATGTGCTCTTCATAGATCTATCATAGTGCTCTATCGTGGAAAGAAACCCACTTCTTCCTGCACACACTGATCTTCCTCATCTATCAATTGGCAGGCTTAAATCCAGGAAGCCCTCTCTGGCACTGGCTCAACAGCTGTCTTAACAATTTTGATATGCACACACAGTGGAAAGCCAAATGGGCTGCTGAATGCCCAAAAAAAGGCAGTTACATAGATGACCCTACACAAAAGGTGCCAGGTTTTGACCTTCCTCACCAGCATTGGTCAACTCTGAACAGGATCCGTACCCAACATGGTGTCTGCCAGGACTCAGTGTTTAAACGGGGTCTTGTCTCTACTCCTCAGTGTGACTGTGGTGCTCCTCAACAAAATATCCATCACATTGTGTCCGAATGTCCATCAAGACCTTACACCGGCCCAATGTCTGATTTTTTCAACATAAACCACCCTGTCCTTGAATGGCTGGGTGGACTGGACATTAACATTTGAACCACTGTAAATCCATGTATATGCTAAATAAATAAATAAATAAACAATAATCGTGGAACTTCCACAGGTAAGTTTAACAGATTCCATAGAACAGAGGTCTTCAAACTTGGCAGCTTTAAGACTTGTGGACTTCAACTCCCAGAATTCTCCAGCCAGCTGCTTGCTGGAGAATTCTGGGAGTTGAAGTCCACAAGTCTTAAAGCTGCCAAGTTTGAAGACCTCTGCCATAGAATAAAACAACCATCACAACCCTATCTCCTCTTTATTCTTTTGCTACATTAAATCAAACAAAACAGCATAAGCAAGCTATTACTCTGCTATCTTTTCATACCTAGCAAAAATTGCATCCATCTTTCATTATTTTTAAATGAGATATTTACTACAATAAATTGACTCCAATTTACAAAATACACAGGAGAGAGAAGTGCTTCTATATACTGATCTGAATGTTGAATCTCCTTATTTATTTATTTATTTTTATATTTGCTAAATTTCACCTGCTGAGCTGAATTCGAGTGATTGTGTGTTTTTAATATAGTAAATTAAGTGAAAATCAATTGTGCTCCAACACAACATATAATCTAATTTCACTCTCCTTTTCTATGTTGAATTGTCCTCTTGCCTTTGTGGTAATGAACACATTTATGTTGTGACTGCTGAGCTACATAGCCGACCAATAAAAGGAGGGAGAATGAACAAAAAAAGGGGGCAAAATTCAATGTGCTGCAGTTTTTCCCTGAGCCATGCTGTTATTCTTTCTGAGGCACACACAATTTTCCATGATCCTTGTGAAAAGCTGCATTATTTTTCTATTGAACAACTCCTCAACAGAGTCACAATGGCTAGTTCTTGGACTTATTGGAATTACATTTTATATCCTTTCTTTTCCATGTGCATGTGATACTGCATGCTTGCATATACACAATTTCTTCAGAAAGTCTGAATGAGAGTTATAACAATCCCAAGTATTCCTAAAAGTAGCAGCCATGAATCCGTTACAAACAACATACTGCCATTTCCACTGTTCCAACCATTCACGTGTCAATTTTTTGTTATCAACCCTGCCTCAAGCTTCAACATGCCTTTGGCTTCAGTTACTTTTTAAGAATTCTTGAGTGATTGAAGCAAAAAGGCAAGGCGTCCTCTCATTTCCTCTACATATAATGTTTGCTTCCTTCCTCTCCCCCGGAGGCAAATGCTCCAGGCGATGTCACTCCCCTAACATATACACTGAGATCCGGAAAAGCTCCGTTAATGATCAAGGCTGTATTCCCAACTGAACTCCAATGTTCCTCTACTAGTTAAATGACAATGTTGACAAAGGACATACAATATTACTCCAGCTGCTACAGAAGTAGCTCCATGACGTTTGGGGCTTCTTTTCTTTTTTTCATGTTAAACACCATTAGTACATTCAACACCTATTATACACCTATTATTTACCAAAAGATGGCCATTAACATCCAGGTGTGGAGCAGCACAAATAAAACAGGGCTTTTTCTTTCCAGCTTGGCGTTCCAGCTAAATCCATTGTAGGTAAAATATTGAGGCCTAATTGCTTATACACTTTTTGCACAGAATATTTTGACCTGCACAGAAAGCAGGAAATGACTCAAAAATTACCCTCAACCAAAAACCCACACAGAATGTCAGTCATTATGACAAGAAATGGAAGCAAAATTCATACATGGAAGGAAAGAGCCTTTCCTTTCAACCTTTTTCACACACTTACCAACTCCTGAAACTGTTTCCAGGAGCAGATCGGACTCACATTTTGCCACTCTCGATTTAAACACTATACCTCTGTTCCTTTGTAGACAATGTTACTTTCATATTGGAAGGTACATACCCTTATTCATTCCCCGAAAGAAGACATGCAAAAGATTGAAGTGCATTACAGGGATATTCACACGGATGAATTGCAACAGTCTCATACATGGATAAAGGCATATTTAGGGCAAATTGATAATATATATTTAAAGAGGTCTAAAATTGCATTTCTTCTAACAGTCATAGTCATACTGCCAGTGTACTGTCAATAGTATGTATATATCCCAGGAAATAAACACTATTGCTGTGATGGTGAACCTATGGCAAGCGTGCCAGAGGTGGCACACAGAGCCCTCTCTGTGGGCACGAGTGCCATCACCAGCTGCTCTTCCGGGTTCCGTCGTGTGCATGCGCACCGGACAGCTGATCCAGCGTGCATGCACACTGACCAGTTTTCTTCTGGGTTCTGGCACTCCAGTGTGCGCACTCACTCCAGTTTTGGCACTCGGTGCCGAAAAGGTTAACCATCACTGCACTATTGGATAATGGTTGCATTGCTGAAGGCTTACCTTCATGACGTAAAATCTAGGAAAATGTTAAATCTATTGTACAGGAGTTAACACAACAAGAACAGTTTTTGGATGAACAGCATGGAGTCTTCTCTATTTTAAAGTAGTTATAATGGACAAATAGTTAGGAAAGATGTATCCATCAAAGAAGGTAGAGTAAAGAAAGTGGGATGCAAACAAACCTATACAGTACTTTTGCACTGTAGCATTTTATAAGTGTGTGTGTGTGAATACAATTAATATATGTATATTCAATTCCTGTACCATTCCTAATCGAATAATATTTTATGCAAAATTGTGTATTATTATGGGTAAATAACAAGTGTACTTTCTGGTTTGTTTTAAATACAGTAAAATAGTTGGAATAAAGTAATAAGGAAAAATCTGTGACCTAATGGAATTAGGATTATCTCCACTTTTCTACTCCATGCCTTCCCAGCTGGTAGAAGGCAGCAATACTTGGCAGATGAAGTTGGAACAGACAACTCCATTCAAACTTAATATTTGGAGGATTTGGAACATCTGTATAGGGCTCTTGTAAAACAGACATGGAGAACCTGACTAAAAATCTATTTCATTTATAATAGAGTAGCCCTAAAACAAGCTATTATCTATTTCATTCTCAAGAGTTACGCATACTATTCAATTACTTTCCAGCCTGATTGCACCAATCTTATACCAATTAGGTTATTATCACTCATTCTCCAACTTTGTGATTCCACAACCCCCAAAAGTGAATTTGGGCAAACCCCCCTCCCCCCGAGTTAAAAAACAATAGTTTCATTGGAGTAGTAATACTGAAAAGTTCCAGCTCAATTACTGTAGCCAAGGCAACATTTAAAAAACCCCTTCCAAGTGTGCCTCTTAGGGGTTCTGACTCACAACAGAGAATCTGCTAGTTGTATGAATTAGGTCCATACAACTGTACACCTTCTTTGTGTCTGCTGCATTGTAATATGGAAATTTCATGCTCAGAGTGCAGTGCAACCTACCATCTAAATGCCTGATGCAGTCCGGGTTAGGAAGGAAACATACTGGGTTATATATATACATATGTTATATAAACAGGAAAGTTTTCAAGATTGTTTTTCTGTATCCAATTACACTAATGCCACTGCACAGCCACTAGAAATATACAAAGGCTAAAATGGGGATTGGAATCCAGAGACTTGGTGGATCGAGGTATTAGTCTACTATCACAGAATTACAGCTTCGCAAAAAAAATATTTTCAACCAGTTTATATAGG